TGTATAATTTTTATTGGATAACATTTTGACTTGTAATTTATCGTACAAATATTATCCATTTGATAGTAACATTACTACAAGTATTGAAGTATTATAAATCCAAACATAAAACTTTTAACATTAAGTAAGCCAAAATTCTGGCCATAACTTCATTGTGGACTTGTTAAAGGTTAGGGAACCCTAATAACGCATTACAATTTAGACAACTATTTATGGGACCGCACCTAACACGCATCATCAACGATCAACATCATCATAAGATGTTCTATCCGGAATCAATTTTCGCATTTCCCTAAAACTAAGAATATTCCACATTCCTAACTGTTTAGGTCTGCCTTTGTTTCTCTTTATAAATATTTCTATTTCTTATATATATCTAACTATTAGTCCTTGAAGCCTGAAAATGTTCCCTATCATCCTCCTCTTTTCCTTCTTGGTCACCATAGCCCCTTTTGTTCTCCTAATCTTACAAATATCTCGTTCTGAAAAAATTAACATAAAGTCGATTTCGAAAAGTAAAAGGGTTAATTTTTTGAAACGGCGTCGTATATACTGTACTATAGGAATGAATATTAACTTATTAAAAAAAATAATACATACAAGTGAAGTACGTAGAAATTTTTTCACATTGCAAGTCATACAGCGATTGATGAGGTACATAAAAGGCTTTGCGAATGGTGACGACGTATAAAAATGATACTGTTAGTATTTTTAAACTCGCTTAATTAAAAATAGACGTTATCTCTCTGATTGAGTGTATGATACAGACGTGCTTTTAAGCAAATTGGGACATTATCGTTATTCGAAGTATTATAAATGTAAACATAAAAATTTTAACATTAAGTAAACCAAAATTCTGGCCATAATTTTACTGCGGATTTATTAAGGGTTAAGGAACCCTAATGAAGCCTAGCTTTATACAACCTCAAATTTGAAAATTAGTAGATGAGCACCTATCTCAAAAATGCCAAAAAAATCATTCAAATTATGAACCAAAAGAAATAAGTAAATATTTACATACCGTAAAACGTAGCGGATCTGTGAATATGTTGACATACTCTTTGCCAGAATGATAACTGCTTCCCATATCCCAGTAACATGTCAGGATTTAGAATAGGATGTAAGGGATTTCCTATAGCGAGAAATGCTGCGGACAAATCCGAGAAAGACAGCATTCCCACCAAAGGAGCGTTAAATTTGTATGCAAATCCAAAAGCAGGAGAACAAATCATTTCAGAAATTACCAAATCGAAATGTGAATTATTGTCTTTCAGAATTTTCATTACATCCGAATGATTCAATTGACTTTCAATTAAAGGTTTTACATAATGATCTACACTCATACTAACTAGCTGATCTGGCATGAGATTACTGTTGTCTATTAAAAATTGTAAAGAAACAGTACCGTAGACGTAACTAACATCGATCTCTGTAAGATTTGTCAAAGTCGGATCGTTCAAAGGATTAGGAGTGACTACGGTCACTTTATGACCTCGCAAGGACAATTCTCGCCATATCGGCTGAAATACCAGTTGATGGCTTATGGAAGGTACACTAAATATGGCAAAAATATTCGCACTATTTGCCACGGCGACGATAATAGAGAAACACAACAATCTGAACATTGCAAACATCTACAGATGACTACGAAAACATTAACGATTTTTTATATAAATACTTAAAGTATCGCAAATGTTTATGCAATGTCATTCCGCGGATTAATTTGTCACTTTGTTTAATGAGGTAGGCCTTGAAATTTAAGCGTCTATCTCAGCAGACGGTTTCGTGAACGAAACATCTCCAAAAATATACCGGGAGTACTTGAAAAGTATTTTCATGAAATACTACAAACGGCGCGGTAAACGCTATCTGTACTAGTACAGTACTATATTTAGTGGAATTCAACATGTTCAACAAGGCCCAATTTACATAAAAAAACCTTTACTTGCTAAACTGAATCCCCATAAACACTTTACCAAATCGAACAAAGAAGTTTATGGTGGTTAGTGTTTTGTCGATACTGTCAGACGTGGATCTCGATTTCGATCTTGTTGGATTACAAACAGTTTCGACAGAACACAGACCAACTCTACTTGCCTTTTCTTTTCCGACGCCCTCAAAGTGAAATGGTAATAATTAAACAATAAATGAATTGCTTCATACATCAGAAATACAATAATTTTAACAAATACAGCATCTTTCAAACAATTTGCAGCACGACGATAGAGTTTTTTTTACGTAAAGCCTTTGGATATCAAAAAAAGTTTATGGCATATCATTTTGTCTTATTTAATCAAACACAAATTGTTATATGTATGTCACAATAGACTGAAAGAGCGAGACATTTCTAAAAAAATACAACAACCTAAGGTATTGAAAACGGTAAATGTTTGCGATATGATAATGCACTTTGTAGTTACATACATACATACAAAGTTTGTTGAACTATAAAATAACAAGTTAAGTTGATTAATGTCTGACTGTCGTAAATAAAGTGTTGAAAACGAATGAACCTAAAGAAATAAGGAAATAAACACGTACCGTAAAACGTAGCGGATCTGCGAATAGGTTGACACAATCCTTTGCCAGAATGACAGAATCCTGCCATATCCCAGTACAGTGTCAGGATTTAGAACGGGATGTAAAGGATTTCCTACAGCCAAAGACGCTGATGATACGTCAGGTAATGACATCATTCCCACCAAAGGAACGTTAAACTTGTATGCAAAACCATAAGCCGGAGAACAAATCATTTCGGATATTACCAAGTCGAAATGTGAATTTTTATATTTAAGGATTTTTCTTACAGCTGAATCATTCAACTGACTTTCAATTATAGGTTTTATATAATTCTCAGCAGCCATACTCATGACTTGATCTGGTAGAAGATTAGGATTGTCTAATAAAAATTGCAATGAAGCACTACGGTAGACGTAACTAACATCGATCTCTGTTAGATTTGTCAAAGTCGGATCTTTTAAAGGATTAGGAGTGACTACGGTCACTTTATGACCTCGCAAGGACAATTCTCGCCATATCGGCTGAAATGCCAGTTGATGGCTTATTGATGGCACACTAAATATTGCGAAAATATTAGCACCACTTGCCACACTGACGATAACTAGGAAACAGAGTAACCTGAACATTGTAAACTTCTAAACTTGACTACGAAAGCTTTTATGATCTGTTTCGTATAAATACTAATTAAGTATCGCAAAAAATTAATGCTGTGTCATTTTGAAGATCGCTCTATTTTTTCATATAATCAGACAGGCCTTGAAATTCATTGACATATTTATTTCAGCAGACGGTTTCGTGAACGAGACATCTTTAAAAATATACAGGGAGTACTTAAAAAGTATTTCCATGAAATACTACAAACGACGCGGTAAACGCTGTCTGTACTAGTACAGTGATTTATTTAATGGAATTCAATGTGTTCAACAAGGCCCATTTGCATAGATGGACATTTACTTGTTGAACTGAATCCACGGCGTAACTCACCGTACGGAATGAACACGTTACCGAATAGAACAAAGAAGTTTATGATGGTTAGTGTTCTGCCGATATTGTCAGACGTGGATCTCGATTTCGATCTTGTTGGATTACAGACAATTTCGACAGAACAATGACTAAATCTACTTGCCTATTCTTTTACGACGCGCTCAAAGTGAAATGGTACTAATTAAACAATAGATGAATTGCTTCATACATCAGAAATACAATAATTTTAACAAATACAGCATCTTTCAAACAATTTGCAGCAAAACGATAGAGTTTTTTTTACGTAAAGGCTTTGCATATCCAAAAAAGATTATGCCATATCATTTTGACTTATTTAATCAAACAGAAGTTATTACATGTATGTCACAACAAACGACTTAAAGAGCGTGACTTTCTAAAGAAATGCTAGGAGAAATTCCATATTCTTCATTGTCAATTTAAACCTATCGAAAATACAATAATCTAAGGTATTGAAAACGGTAAATGTTTGCAATGTGATAATGCACTTGGTAGTTACATATATACATACAAAGTTTGTTGAACTATAAAATAATGAGTTTAAGTGATTAATGTCAAACTGTCCCAAATAAGATGTTGAAAACGAATGAACCTAAAGAAATAAGGAAATAAACACGTACCGTAAAACGTAGCGGATCTGCGAATATGTTGACATAACCCTTTGCCAGAATGTCAGAATCCTACCAAATCCCAGCATAGTGTCAGGATTTAGAACGGGATGTAGAGGATTCCCAACAGCCATAGATGCAGTGGACATGTCAGGTAAAGACAACATGCCCACCAAAGGAGCTTTAAACTTGTATGCAAAAGCATAAGCCGGAGAACAAATCATTTCGGATATCACCAAGTCGAAATGTGAATTTTTATCATTAAGGATTTTTGTTACAGCTGAATCATTCAACTGACTTTCAATTACAGGTTTTATGTAATTCTCAGCAGACATACTCATGAACTGATCTGGTAGAAGATTAGGATTGTCTAATAAAAATTGCAATGAAACACTACGGTAGACGTAACTAACATCGATCTCTGTTAGATTTGTCAAAGTCGGATCTTTCAAAGGATTAGGAGTGACTACGGTCACTTTATGACCTCGCAAGGACAATTCTCGCCATATCGGCTGAAATGCCAGTTGATGGCTTATTGATGGCACACTAAATATTGCGAAAATATTAGCACCACTTGCCACACTGACGATAACTAGGAAACAGAGTAACCTGAACATTGTAAACTTCTAAACTTGACTACGAAAGCTTTTATGATCTGTTTCGTATAAATACTAATTAAGTATCGCAAAAAATTAATGCTGTGTCATTTTGAAGATCGCTCTATTTTTTCATATAATCAGACAGGCCTTGAAATTCATTGACATATTTATTTCAGCAGACGGTTTCGTGAACGAGACATCTTTAAAAATATACAGGGAGTACTTAAAAAGTATTTCCATGAAATACTACAAACGACGCGGTAAACGCTGTCTGTACTAGTACAGTGATTTATTTAATGGAATTCAATGTGTTCAACAAGGCCCATTTGCATAGATGGACATTTACTTGTTGAACTGAATCCACGGCGTAACTCACCGTACGGAATGAACACGTTACCGAATAGAACAAAGAAGTTTATGATGGTTAGTGTTCTGCCGATATTGTCAGACGTGGATCTCGATTTCGATCTTGTTGGATTACAGACAATTTCGACAGAACAATGACTAAATCTACTTGCCTATTCTTTTACGACGCGCTCAAAGTGAAATGGTACTAATTAAACAATAGATGAATTGCTTCATACATCAGAAATACAATAATTTTAACAAATACAGCATCTTTCAAACAATTTGCAGCAAAACGATAGAGTTTTTTTTACGTAAAGGCTTTGCATATCCAAAAAAGATTATGCCATATCATTTTGACTTATTTAATCAAACAGAAGTTATTACATGTATGTCACAACAAACGACTTAAAGAGCGTGACTTTCTAAAGAAATGCTAGGAGAAATTCCATATTCTTCATTGTCAATTTAAACCTATCGAAAATACAATAATCTAAGGTATTGAAAACGGTAAATGTTTGCGATGTGATAATGCACTTGGTAGTTACATATATACATACAAAGTTTGTTGAACTATAAAATAATGAGTTTAAGTGATTAATGTCAAACTGTCCCAAATAAGATGTTGAAAACGAATGAACCTAAAGAAATAAGGAAATAAACACGTACCGTAAAACGTAGCGGATCTGCGAATATGTTGACATAACCCTTTGCCAGAATGTCAGAATCCTACCAAATCCCAGCATAGTGTCAGGATTTAGAACGGGATGTAGAGGATTCCCAACAGCCATAGATGCAGTGGACATGTCAGGTAAAGACAACATGCCCACCAAAGGAGCTTTAAACTTGTATGCAAAAGCATAAGCCGGAGAACAAATCATTTCGGATATCACCAAGTCGAAATGTGAATTTTTATCATTAAGGATTTTTGTTACAGCTGAATCATTCAACTGACTTTCAATTACAGGTTTTATGTAATTCTCAGCAGACATACTCATGAACTGATCTGGTAGAAGATTAGGATTGTCTAATAAAAATTGCAATGAAACACTACGGTAGACGTAACTAACATCGATCTCTGTTAGATTTGTCAAAGTCGGATCTTTCAAAGGATTAGGAGTGACTACGGTCACTTTATGACCTCGCAAGGACAATTCTCGCCATATCGGCTGAAATGCCAGTTGATGGCTTATTGATGGCACACTAAATATTGCGAAAATATTAGCACCACTTGCCACACTGACGATAACTAGGAAACAGAGTAACCTGAACATTGTAAACTTCTAAACTTGACTACGAAAGCTTTTATGATCTGTTTCGTATAAATACTAATTAAGTATCGCAAAAAATTAATGCTGTGTCATTTTGAAGATCGCTCTATTTTTTCATATAATCAGACAGGCCTTGAAATTCATTGACATATTTATTTCAGCAGACGGTTTCGTGAACGAGACATCTTTAAAAATATACAGGGAGTACTTAAAAAGTATTTCCATGAAATACTACAAACGACGCGGTAAACGCTGTCTGTACTAGTACAGTGATTTATTTAATGGAATTCAATGTGTTCAACAAGGCCCATTTGCATAGATGGACATTTACTTGTTGAACTGAATCCACGGCGTAACTCACCGTACGGAATGAACACGTTACCGAATAGAACAAAGAAGTTTATGATGGTTAGTGTTCTGCCGATATTGTCAGACGTGGATCTCGATTTCGATCTTGTTGGATTACAGACAATTTCGACAGAACAATGACTAAATCTACTTGCCTATTCTTTTACGACGCGCTCAAAGTGAAATGGTACTAATTAAACAATAGATGAATTGCTTCATACATCAGAAATACAATAATTTTAACAAATACAGCATCTTTCAAACAATTTGCAGCAAAACGATAGAGTTTTTTTTACGTAAAGGCTTTGCATATCCAAAAAAGATTATGCCATATCATTTTGACTTATTTAATCAAACAGAAGTTATTACATGTATGTCACAACAAACGACTTAAAGAGCGTGACTTTCTAAAGAAATGCTAGGAGAAATTCCATATTCTTCATTGTCAATTTAAACCTATCGAAAATACAATAATCTAAGGTATTGAAAACGGTAAATGTTTGCGATGTGATAATGCACTTGGTAGTTACATACACACATACAAAGTTTGTTGAACTATAAAATAATGAGTTCAAGTGATTAATGTCAAACTGTCCCAAATAAGGTGTTGAAAACGAATGAACCTAAAGAAATAAGGAAATAAACACGTACCGTAAAACGTAGCGGATCTGCGAATATGTTGACACAATCCTTTGCCAGAATGACAGAATCCTACCATATCCTAGTAAAGTTTCAGGAACTAGAACAGGATGTAAGGGATTTCCTACAGCCATAGACGCTGTGGTTACATCAGGTAATGACATCATTCCCACCAAAGGAACGTTAAACTTGTATGCAAAAGCATAAGCCGGAGAACAAATCATTTCGGATATTACCAAATCGAAATGTGAATTTTTATCATTAAGGATTTCTGTTACAACTGAATCATTCAACTGACTTTCAATTACAGGTTTTATGTAATATTTTGAAATCATACTCATGACCTGATCGGGCAGGAGATTAGGATTGTCTAATAAAAATTGCAATGAAGCACTACGGTAGACGTAACTAACATCGATCTCTGTAAGATTTGTCAAAGTCGGATCTTTCAAAGGATTAGGAGTGACTACGGTCACTTTATGACCTCGCAAGGACAGTTCTTGCCATATCGGCTGAAATGCCAGTTGATGGCTTATGGATGGCACACTAAATATTGCGAAAATATTAGCACTACTTGCCACACTGACGATAACTAGGAAACAGAGTAACCTGAACATTGTAAACTTCTAAACTTGACTACGAAAACTTTAATGATCTGCTTCGTATAAATACTAATTAAGTATCGCAAAAAGTTAATGCTGTGTCATTTTGAAGATCGGTTTATCTTTCTTTATAATCAGACAGGCCTTGAAATTTATTGACACACTTTTTTCAGTAGACGGTTTCGTGGACGAGACATCTTTAAAAACATATATAGAGTGCTTAAAAAGTATTTTCAGGAAATACTACAAACGACGCGGTAAACGCTGTCTGTACTAGTACAGTACTATATTTAGTGGTATTCAACATGTTCAACAAGGCCCTTTTACTTAGGAAGACATCTGCTTGCTGAACTGAATCCACGCCGTAGCTCATCATACATGATCGATACGTTACCAAATCGAACATTGGATCTTGTTGGATCACAGACAATGTCAACAACACAGACCAACTTTACTTGCCTTTTCGTTTCCGACGCGCTTAAAGTGATATGGTAATAATTAAACAATACATGAATTGATTCATGTATCAGAATTAAAATAATTTTGACAAATATATAATCAATAGAATCTTTCAAACAGTTTGCCGCAAAACGATAGTTTTTTCAGATAAAGACTTTGGCATTTTGTCTTATCTAATCAAACACAAATTATTACATGCATGTTACAACAGACGACTTAAAGAACGACACATTTCTAAATAAATGATAGGAGAAATTCCATATTCTTCATTGTCAATTTAAACCTGTCGTAAATACAATAATCTAAGGTATTGAAAACGGTAAATGTTTGCGATGTGATTATGCACTTTGTAGTTACATACACACATACAATGTTTGTTGAACCATAAAATAATGAGTTCAATTAATGTTTGATTAATGTCAAACTGTCGTAAATAAAGTGTTGAAAACGAATGAACCTAAAGAAATAAGTACATACCGTAAAACGTAGCGGATCTGCGAATAGGTTGACATAACCCTTTGCCAGAATGTCAGAATCCTGCCATATCCCAACATAATGTCAGGATTAAGAACAGGATGAACGGGATTCCCCACGGCCAGAGATGCTGTAGACATATCTGGTAATGACAGCATTCCCACCAACGGAGCGTTAAACTTGTACGCCAAAGCATAAGCCGGAGAACATATCATTTCAGATATTACCAAGTCGAAATGTGAATTTTTATCTTCTAGGATTTTTGTTACAGCTGAATTATTCAACTGACTTTCAATTACAGGTTTTATAAAGTTCTCTAAAGACATACTCATTAGCTGATCTGGCAGAAGATTAGCATTGTCTATTAAAAATTGCAAAGAAATAGTATTGTAGACGTAACTAACATCGATCTCTGTAAGATTTGTCAAAGTCGGATCTTTCAAAGGATTAGGAGTGACTACGGTCACTTTGTGACCTCGCAACGACAATTCTCGCCATATCGGCTGAAATACCAGTTGATGGCTTACGGATGGCACACTGAATATGGCGAAAATATTAGCACCACTTGCCACACTAACAATAATTAGGAAATAGAGTAACCTGAACATTGTGAACTTTTAAACTTGACTACGAAAACTTTTATGATTTATTTCGTATAAATACTTATAAAGTATAGCAAAAAGTTAATGCAGTGTCATTATCTTTTTTTATAATCAGATAGGCCTTGAAATTTATTGGCATACTTATTTCACTAGATGATTTCGTGAACGAGACATATCTAAAACAAACCCTTGAGAATTCTGAAGGTTAGTTTGTCAGTTCCTATGACATTGTTAATTACTTAATAGTGGATCAATATGCAATATTAATTTTACAAATTTTTTATTTACTCACTATAAACTACCTCAAATTAATAAGGGAAAAATTGTTGCTGTTGTCGCACCCCCGCCGGGAATCGAACCCGGGATCTTTGCCTTTACGCACCAATGTTCTATTTTTCCCTCATTAATTTCAGGTAGTTTGTAGTGGGCAAATAAAAAATCGAAAAAATGATTTCAAATTAATATTTAGTATGTTAGGTTTAAACTAAAATTATTGAAGACGAGAAGTTGTGCGATATACCTATAACAACCAGACGGTTTTAGTTACTTTCCCCAAAAAATGTCCAAAGGGATATTTTAACACACTGATTGCGTTGTTGATCCCTGTAGATCGATGTGAAACTTTCTTTCTGTGCGGATTATTGGGTATTAAAATTACAGTAGGTGGGGCGTCTGTGTTTTTATTAAAAATGACCTTATGAAATCTAAAAAGATGATCGAGTGTAGGCCCCTGGTGACCTATGCCGCAGTAAATTTTAGTGCAGTATCGGTCTTTAGGGATTTATATAAAATTATATGGGAAATAAGTTGAATCTTATCTTTGAGTTAGTTTCAATCGTTGTAATCAGTAGCAGATAGCCTATAATACTGAAAGGAAATACGACCAGCAGTAAAAAATGAATTTTCGTGGGAAGAAGATGGTCTTAATTACTACAGATTTTGTAGATAATGTTCAATGTGAACCTGCAATGAATACTTTGACGAAGGATGTTCAAGAAACGGTAATGGTCTAGATGATGGCCCTCACCCCCGAAGGGGGGTGGGGGTGGGTGGGACCGAAAGAGGGGGTCTCTCCCACCACTGTACCATAAAAAGTTCTGTATTATAAAAAGTTATGGGGGCTATATGATGACCCCCCCATCCCAAAGAGGGTGGCCGCCTGAGTAAAACCCCATAAAAAATTTGCGGCGGTCTCACCCCCATAACAACTTATGAGGGTTGAAAGTTGATTACTTTGACAATTTCCATACACTATAATTCAAATAAAATTCAATAAAAAAANATCTGATTATGGTATTATCATGATTGAAAAAGAAGTCAGATGTTAAAGCTGGATACACAATAGCATCTACCAAAAATTATAATCCCAACTTGAATTATTCAGAAAATTCCAAAAAGTGTTTGTTTTTGTCATAACTAACTGAATGATGCACAAATTCGTAGATAAATTTACGCTAAAACATTATCCTTTTTATATCGGTTAATAGCTATCAAATTTGGATAAACAAGACAAAAATATAAATTTATAAAATACCTTAATCATCTTTTTCTTATCATACATGAATGCGTACGAATTGTATAATTTTTATTGGATAACATTTTGACTTGTAATTTATCGTACAAATATTATCCATTTGATAGTAACATTACTACAAGTATTGAAGTATTATAAATCCAAACATAAAACTTTTAACATTAAGTAAGCCAAAATTCTGGCCATAACTTCATTGTGGACTTGTTAAAGGTTAGGGAACCCTAATAACGCATTACAATTTAGACAACTATTTATGGGACCGCACCTAACACGCATCATCAACGATCAACATCATCATAAGATGTTCTATCCGGAATCAATTTTCGCATTTCCCTAAAACTAAGAATATTCCACATTCCTAACTGTTTAGGTCTGCCTTTGTTTCTCTTTATAAATATTTCTATTTCTTATATATATCTAACTATTAGTCCTTGAAGCCTGAAAATGTTCCCTATCATCCTCCTCTTTTCCTTCTTGGCCACCATAGCCCCTTTTGTTCTCCTAATCTTACAAATATCTCGTTCTGAAAAAATTAACATAAAGTCGATTTCGAAAAGCAAAAGCGTTAATTTTTTGAAACGGCGTCGTATATACTGTACTATAGGTATGAATATTAACTTATTAAAAAAAATGATACATACAATTCAAATACGCAGAAATTTTTTCACATTGCAAGTCATACAGCGATTGATGAGGTACATAAAAGGCTTTGCGAATGGTGACGACGTATAAAAATGATACTGTTAGTATTTTCAAACTCGCTTAATTAAAAATCGACGTTATCTCTCTGATTGAGTGTATGATACAGACGTGCTTTTAAACAAATTAGGACATTATCGTTATCACTTAAAAACCTGCGAAAACAAGACGTTTTGAAAACAAGTGCAATTTTGTAATTAGTCATGTCATTGTTATCCATTAGAAAAATTTGACTAAACATATTTACTACAAATAAGTGTGTTATTTAACTGAGACTTAGAGGAAAAATCTTTTAAAATCCTTGAAATTATTGTGTCATCTTATCACCAAGAAAGAAAACTTAATAAAGCAAGGGAAGTCTTCTAATATGAAGGCAGCGACAGATGCCAAAAATTCGTCAAAATTAGAATTTGTGGATTGATTAATAAATTGATTGAAAGATCTAATGAACATCCTGGAAAACAAATTGTGATTCAAAGTAAGATAAATATGAAAATGAATTTGAAAAGATCGTTGATGAAGAGGGAAATTAAAAAATTTCCATATTGAATTTAGAACAATCCAAATTTCAAATTAAAACGCATTATCGACGAAACCGTTATCAATACAATTGCCCAACAACAGATCAACAGGTTCGTTTGCTGATAACGATTAGGCAAATCAATCAGTTATATTTATATCTTTACTTGAAGTGTCTACAATGTTAACGACCCTTGTGGACTGTCTGCGTGCCTTGGTCCAGATTATAAATTGAGACCTGACGTTTCACTGCAGTAATCACTGAAGATGTGAGCGGCAGTTATCCACGAAACGTCTGCTTATTTTTTTATAGATTTATGAAGTCTGATAAAATCATACCTTAAATGCATTCTAATGTGATGTAAGACGTGTTAAGCCTTTCCCAAATCGAGTAATACATTTGGCATAATAATCAGGGTATCCAAAGGAAAAATTCCCACACTTATAAGAATAATTCCATAATCGTTTCAGCGAAGAATTTATCGAATTTTCTTACGACACTATTCAAAAATTTTTGAGCCTAAAGAAGTTTTTCACAAGCTTCAGAAGTTCCAGTAAATAAAAAGGCTACTGTTCATTGAGTGTTAATTACTTTTCGATAACATTAAAAAGGATCAAAACAATGTATACCGATCTCTGTTGGAACTTCTTTGGAATATCGTTTTAGGTCAAAAGGTAAGGTAAGGTTCGTTTAGCACATAATAGCAAGATTATTGAAAACCCAATTAGAAATTTATGCTTTTATACATCAAATAAAAAATTCTAATACTCACTATTTCATCCCTTAGTTCCATTATAAAAAAAAAGACAAGGCCAATGAGGATAGTAAAGTATTTAGTTGATTATAGAATCGACACTAACGTTTCGCGACTTACTGAGTCGTTTTATCAATTAATTAACTAAGAGAACCTACCTTGACAAAGCCTCCCAACAAGAGACAAAACGTTGGCATGAGTTCTATAATCAAACAAAGACTACTACCTTCATCTGCCTTGACTTTTTTTCATATATGCTCTAATAATCTAATCTTGTTGGAGTTTTCCTTTGTTCTAATTGGAATTAATAAATCTGATAAAATCCTACATTTTGCGACTCGAAGTAACTCAAAACCGATTAAATACAGAAAGAAATAAGTAAAAATACGTCACATACCGTAGAATACATCGGATTTGCGCATACGTTGATACTACTCTTTGCCAAAAAGAAAGTTGTTTCCCATATCCCAGTAAACCGTTAGGATTTATAACAGGATGTAAAGGATTCCCAACGGCCATAGACACTGAGGGTACATCAGATACAGACAGCATTCCCACCAAAGGTGCGTTAAATTTATATGCAAATCCATATGCAGGAGCACAAAACATTTCAGAAATTACCAGATCGAAATGTGAATTATTATCCTTAAGGATTTGCATTAAGTCTGAATAATTCAATTGGCTTTCAATAATAGGTTTTACGAAATGATCTACACTTAAGCTCATTTGGTGATCTGGTAGAAGATTACTGTTGTCTATTAGATATTGCACAGAATAACTGCTGTACGAATGATTGACGTCGATCTCTGTCAGGTTTGCCAAACTCGGATCGTTCAAAGGATTAGGAGTGACCACAGTGACTTTATGACCTCGCAAAGACAGTTCTCGCCATATCGGCTGAAACACCACTTGATGGCTTATAGATGGTGTACTAAATATGGCAAAAATGTTGGCACCACTTGCCACATTGACGATAATAAGGAAACACAATAACCTGAACATTTTAAAGTTCAAAACTTGACTACGAAAACGTTAAGGCTTTTTTATATAAATACTTTGGGTACCCAAAAAAGTTTATAATACTAAATCATTTTTTTGTCATTTTATCTGATCAAACACAAATTAATAATAGGGTTCAGCAGACGGCTTCAAGATCGAGACGTTTCTAAAAATACTAGGAAAAATTTCATATTGTTCATTATCAATCTAAACCTGTCGTAAATATAAGGTATTGAAAATGGTAAATGTTTGCGATATGATAATTGTGTGGCGATAATTTTTTTAACATGCGTGTCTTGTATATATATATATAAATATCCGTCTATTAGGTACAATTTATGTACCTATACATAGAATTTTTAAATTTTGCCAGCCATATACCAATCCTTTAATACCTTTACAGCCACTACGGATATTACGTAAATTATTTTAATTATGTTTTTAGGTCTTTCAATTTCTGTTATAAATGTTCCCTTTTGCGTAGTTAAATTTTAAAATTTTGCTCGTGTAGGTACTTATAAAAAATCGGAAAATAAATAAGAAATACATTTTCTAG